ATTAGCAAAAATATGATATTTTTCCTTGTAGCTCTGCCGGTACCAGTTCATATTATATTTGTATTAAACTATTTGGATTATATGGTATTTATCTTCTTTACAATTATCCAATTTAATATAATTTAAAAAATTAACACACGATTTAAAGCAGCTTTTTACAACTTCGGCTTGTCTTACAACACATCTAAAAACCAAATAAACAATTATCAACACGGCACGTTGACAGCGCGGTAGAGCGGATTAAAGCAGAAGGGATTAAAAAATAACGGGATCTAGTCAAGAATTATATTCTCTTCAGCCTATATTCAGTTATAGAAGAAAAAAGTGCGTTTGGAAAATTCGACTTTTGGCCGCCTAAATCGGCCAAATACCCCTCTGTGCATCGGCCATTCCAAATGATTTTATTAGGCTTAAGCAATGTAATATTAATAACTAGGTTAAGTCTATCTACATATATTGTAATGAATTAGGCTCAGGAGAGCTGTAAGAAATAAATAATAATAATAATCGGTATGCTTTCAGAGGAAGCACAGGAAGATAAAAACAAGAGAACATTTAAGCCGAAAAACATCACGATTAGATATTTTGACAATGTCTGAGAATGCTCTTATCTTCAGATCCAGGTATATATTTGACTCGAAACCTGCCGAATACTAACAAAATGCAGCTTTACACGATATGTTTGAACCGGAAGACATTTTAAAAGTTGGAAATATCAGCCAATTCGAGTAATTACGGTATATTGTTATTATTAATAAAGATTTATAGTTCTTTAATACGGCTGTTAATAATTTTGACCTTCTTTACATGTTAATATATGTTAATTTAAAACAACCTTTCTACTTTGTTTTCAGACACTTTTAATTTCTTTAAAACATAAATTCTCTTTTTATAAATATCACTTCTACTTTAGTAAATTTTCCAAACCTCAGGTACCTTTTACTTACAATTTCTATAAGCAAAAGCTGTTGTTGTTTTCTGTGCAATAAACTTAAGTATTATTTTAATCGCGAATTGTTCATCTAGGGGCACATTATAGTTGTTATTCCATTTCATATGCAAGGGTAAGCATTAGTGTGCGTGTGTGCTCATACATATGTTAACCGATATGTAAATTTACACACCCAAATTAATTATTTTTTACATTTATTTATCATATGAGGCATCACCGCGACCACCTCTGTGCGCGACCTCTAAGGATTTGGATGAAAGTTGAAGAGAAGAAAGGTCTAGGCGACATGAATATACGTGCAGCATATTTTGCCGATATGACGTAGGGTTGCCTATTTACACGGGACTTAAATTTTAAGAAAACGTCATACAAAAAGGAAGGGTGTGTAAAAAAAATAAACCTAATGAGTAATAAAATTATACTTAAAACAAGTAAAAGAGTCTAAGTTCGGGCGGAGCCGAACATTAAATACCCGGCGCAAGTATTAAATATATGTTTTTTCACCTTTCCGAAAGCTACCGCTAGATGGTAAGACGGGGTATATCAATTTTGAGTAAATTAGCGTCCTTAAATGTCGAAATATTCCAGTTTCAAGCATTTCTGAAATTTACCGTTATATGAAAAGCGGCCGTAATTTTAGTCCGATTTCAATAATTTTCAACGTATTGCTTTTATGTGGCAAGCACAATACAAATACCGTGTTTGGTACAAATTGGTATAACGGTTACCGTTATACATATATGTGATCATAAGTGGGCGGTGCCACGCCCATTTCCCAAAATTTTACCATAAACGTATTTCTGGGTAAAGAATTGTTGCAAGCATCAATTTTGAATAAATTAGCTTTAATATTTTCTGATTTATGCAAGATTTTGTATTTCTCTAAATTACCGTTATATGGGATGTGGGCGTGGTTATTGTCCGATTTTTTAAATTTTTGGCCATTTAGTATGCTGTACCAAGGCCAACAACTGTGCCAAGTTTGGAAGAAATTGGTGCAGCGGTTACCAAGATATACACATGTT